TAAGAATAAAGTAAAGAGAGAAATACAGGCAGAGATAGAGCCCATAAGGAAGAAATAGTACCAATAGCTGAGCAAGCTGAGGAACAGGAACAGGTAGTAATTCAAAAAAGTCCTCATACAAGCGGTTGTAAATTCCACTGATAAAAAAATGCCAAATGGAATCTTAGAAGAGCAAGGTAATTATTTATTTATTTAATTGTACATAAAGATGTACTTCTTTTTATAATGTAATGTTGAAAGGGGAAACAAATAGATTTCACAGGATTGGTTATTCAGTTGTTAGTGTATTTGAGAACTGTTCCTTTTTAGAGAAGATTTGTTCACATATTGTGTTCACATATTTTTGTTCACATATTAATGTTTGCATTTACAGTATATTACAATTTCGTTCAGAAAGATCTTTTTTGAAACATTGCATTAAGTTATGTCAGGAGTTCCATTTAAATATGTGTTAGATGTAGAACTAATTTTATATGTAAATTTTCATGGAATCAATTTTGAACTACATGAATAATTTTTTTAAATAAGTAATTAAATGACAAACATGATAAACACAACTGTAAAAAATATGAATTAACATGTAAAGGAGGAAGGTCAAAAGAAATTTGAGTTAGTTTCTGTACGTGCTGAACACCCACATAACTTCATCATGTAAACAGTACAGTACAATAACATATACCTTTCTTGCATTAACAGTTTCAGTAGTTTAAGACATTCCTTTTGTAAACCCAAAATAAGAAAACTTTCCAAATCATTCTTCTGATTTATTATTTGTATGTGCTCTTTAGTTATTGAGACGTTAGCTGGTTTCAGATATAAATCTATTATAGAATTCTTTTCTACATCAGAATCCATTTTTCAGGAAAAAAAAAGTATTTGAAAAGACTGTAAAGCTAGTAATTCTTGTGAAGTTTTCCATTTATGTTTAGCTGTACAGACGTGGTCTTAATTTGCTTTTTGACTATGCATATAGTACAGACAGCTGGATTATTGCAATGCACACTATGTAGGACTACCCTTGAAAAGTATCTGGAAACTTTAACTACTACAGAATGAAGCCGTGTAAGTCATATTGGGTGCCCAATGAAGGGAACACCCTTGCTCCATGAACTGCACTAGGTGCTAGTTTGCTTCCAGGTATAGTTCAAGGTGTTGATCATTACCTGGCATAGGCACCAGGCTACCTATATAACTTACTTCATTGCATCAAATCAGCCCATCCCACCCAATCAATCATGGGGGGTACTGCAGACACATCAGTCAAAGAATTTTGGCTAGTTGGATCTGGGAAGAGAGCCTTCTCTGACATTACCACTGCATTATAGAACATCTGCCCCCAGAGCTGAGGCCATGCCACATCCTTCTGGCCTTCTGCAAAGGAGTCAAAACTTGGCTCCATGGCTTTGCCGGGGGAGGCACAGAAGACCATGCATCCATGTGGCTGACTGGCCCCATGAGAGCCCCCCGTCTGTATTATCTAATCTGTGGCTATCTTGGATTTTTTTTTTCCTGTTTGAAATTTTATAATGTCATAATCTTATAATTAAAAATAATCTTAAATTAATTTTAACATTTTAATGTTAATTTTATATATTGCCTGTAGGTTGATTAGACTGGACACAATCCAGAGTCCTTCTCTGAGAGAGGTGGGTGGTTTAGAAATATGAAATATAAATACATAAACACATACTGTGTGCTTTCATCTCCTTTTCACAGAACAGCAGAGGGTGATGCTTCTCAGACAGTCTCCTTCTGGCCCAAAGAAGTATTTTCCTATTCCAGTAGAGCTCCTGGAAGAAGAAATCCGGATAAGAGCAGCTGATGACGGGAAGTTATTTCGGGAAGAGTTTAATGTAAGTTGCCCTTATTTTGTTACTTCATTTTGGTCTTCTTAAATGAAAGATTGCAAATAAAGTGAATGAATTTTTAAGGGAACAATAACAATTGCTTTTGTATTTATAAGGTTTCATGCTTTGGGGTTGTTCAGATATTATATGGTCCTATGCTGTGTAAACTCTTATTAATACTATTATTATTAACAAAATCAGAGTTTAAAGGGGTCTCTACCTTTTTTTTGGGGGGGGGGGGAATGAGATTACCAATCCTATATCTTGCTGCTATTCAGCTAAGTCAGGGTGTCAAACTCGCATCGTCATGGCATTGTCATGTGTTGTATTGGGACTTTTTTCCCCTTCACTAAACCAGGCACGGGCGTGGCCAGCATGTAACACATACAGCCCATAGGCCGTGAGTTAAGTGGCAAATTCATTAGCATTTTCCATGTTTTACTTTATCATGAGTAATAATCTATATTATTACTATCCATAATAATATCTGATGCCTGACACCCAGAAATTCTTACATCTTACAGAATACTTAAGTTTTAGTTTTGGGAATTAGGATTATGTAAACTTCATAACGATTCCAAAACATTTAAAACCAGGTGACAAAGGAATGATCATATACTAAAATAATATTGAAATATGACTGCTTCTTCCTTAATGTGTTATTTGGACCCAAACATTCTGGTTTTAAAACCATGGTTTAAATCTTAAACCTAATCTTTGTGGTTTATTTCAGTAAAACAGGGATGTTAGCTCTTATGTGGTTAGTCTCTCCTGTATGTTGCTTCTTTCATACTTACAGATCCTTATTCTTTCCAGAATTATAAACTCTGCCTTTTAAAAGCCATCCATTTTATAATGCTGTTGCAGAATATTTGATAACTACCAGCCCTAGCTAGAGAGGCCAACAGCAAGCAATTGTAAGAGTTATGATCAAACACATCTGGAAGGCAATAGTACTTTTGCTTTCTTCTAGGATTTTGTTTAAAGAAAAACATGGTTAGTAAGTACTTTTTAAAGACACCTAATGGAGAAGAAAGATAATCATAACAGCTATCCCATTTCAATCTCCCTCTCATGGAGGCTGGAAATAGTGAGGTTGAAGACCCAAAAATCTCAAGGACACCAAGTTAAGAAGGATTGATTTAAAACTTTCTAAATATAGTATCTCACTTCAGAGGTCAGAATATATTTTTTGCTTCCTGCTGCATTGTGGTTGCATGGGTTGTGGGGCTGGCGAATAGCTGATAGATAATCTCTCTCTGGCTTCTGAAGACCAGTTGCATTAAAATGAACTTACCTTCAGTTCTGGTTGGGTTTCAGCAGTTCTCTGAGGTAGCTATGATGTTGACATGTTTACATTCATTTTAAGTTTATCTAAGTGAAAAAGTTGCCAATTAAACTGCCAGGACTGGCTTTGTAATTGCCAGGACTGTATATCAGCAATTACGATTACGTGTTTAAAACTTACCTTTTCAAGTCTGAATTAATCTGGATATATTGAGTCGCATGGTTAAATATGTTAGGAAAAGACAACAATACAAATCTACAATAAAAATGGTCGTGCTTAAAATGGGCAACAAAGTTGATTTTATGCTTGTTCCGTGTTTGTTTCTCAAGAAGCTTTCTGGAGAAATACTGAAATAGAAACAAGTCTTTAAAAAAACCTCCCTCGCCTCACATAACAAAGGGAAGTTCAGTTTTCCAGTTTTACACAATTTGTCTAATTATGCAAAGAAAACAAAAGTTCTCAAAGGGCAAAGTAATTTTTTTAAAAGCTTCCATGAAAACTCACTTTTTACTTTTATTGAAGTGAAATTAAGGAAAACCAGAGTATCAAAATAAGATATAGTATATTTAGTTTATAGTTACTTGTGGTCAGTTTTCAGTTATTTATGTTCCTGTGTGTGTGTGTATGTGAGGGGGGGGAGGAGGGGGGGGAGGGAGGTGTGATGGTCTGTTAAAAGAAAAAAAAATTACAAAGCCAAAGCAAGCGAACATATTGAAGCAACAAATATGACACATTTATGTTGTGGCAAAAGAATGTAACCAACACAAGATACTTCCTTATTAGCTAGTAAACATTAATTCTACAGTATTTAGAGTGACTTAAAACATCACCTGATTAAATCCAATGATGATTAAAATCATGATGTATTTATTTATTTATCAATCAAACTCTTAACTGTCCATCTTCCTCACAGAAGGATGTATAAGCTTTGATCCCCTTATTATTTTATTAGGGTTTTCAAGCATCTATATACACCCACTTTTGTTACTGTATTTGTAGTAAGAGCAAAAGGCTGAACTTCCTTCATATTGCAATGATCAATAGAGACAGCTTCTGATCAGTTTAGCAGTAAAGTAAATTATTGTAAGTCTCCATTGACAGCAATAGCACTCCATTGACACAGCAATAGCACTGAGACTTTTATACTGTTTCACAGTGCTTTACTTCCCTCTCTAAGCAGTTTAGAGTCAGCCTATTGCCCCCAACAATCTGGGTCCTCATTTTACTGACCTCAGAAGGACGGAAGGCTGAATCAACCTTGAGCCGGTGAGGTTCGAACTCCTAGAGTGAGCAGTGAGTTAGCCTACAATACTAACCTAATTTCTTTTAAAATCAGTTGTAGAAATACAACATTTATTTGTAAATTAACATTTACTCGTTGTAGAAATACAACATACATTCTGCCTTGTCTTAACTTGGACCTGTGCAATTCTAAAGGTATATTCTCTTCCTGTGAGATATATATAATAATAGAGTAAGTAATCATGAGGTGTATTTTATTCCATTAAACAACCAAGAAGTATTTATAGAACCTGATCCTCACCTGCAGTTTATCCTAAGCTCTCGCTGAGCAAAATACCTGTAATTTATAATTAAGATGTCTTACATTTAAAGTTAACACTATCTTGCAGCAGCTTCAAGATGTGCAAAATGTGTAAGATCAGCTGATATTATTGTGGGTGTCATCTGAGTTGCATTTGGGAAGGAATGGACATGTTAATTCATCCTACCATCACTATCCAGCTTCAGATCAGCTATTTTTTCTCCCAGAATTTGCTGCCTTCAGTTAGCATTTTCTTTCTGAGTCCCTTTCATAACCATTCATACCCCCTCCTTTTTTTTTTTTTTACCATTTTCTCTCCAGGCTTCAACAGAAAGACACCAGAGTTCCATTATTTTATCTCATGAAGAAAATGAATCTGTGAAAACACTCTCTCTCTCTCTCTCTCTCCCTTTCTGCCCTGTCTCTTTCCTTCTCTCCTGGTCTCTCCATTCTCGCTCTCACCCTGTCTCTCTGCCCCCTCCCTTTCTTTCTCTCTCTCTGTCTCCCCTTCCTCTCCCCCCACATCTCTCCTAGCTATACTGAGTGACCTGTGTGTTTGTCCAGATCTGGAATAGCGATTGACCAGGAGTATGCTGGGTGCAAATTAAATCTGAAATTATACACAGTAATTTTTTTGACAGAATTGCATTTGTTGTTTATTAGTTTCAAGTCTTCAAGTTATCAATTTTAGTTCTCCCCTTTTATAAGACCTAACCAAATGCAGAATCTTGGAAATATCTTTCTCTTCTTTTGAGAGATATTTCTGCCTTGGTATCTTTCTGTGTCACTTTGAATTAATTGAATTAATGTTGAATTCATATTAATTTTTGAAAATGAACTGAACTAATACCCAGAGGAGGGTCTCTGCTGAGGAGTAGACAAATAACCCTCCAAAGAAAGCCAGACGACCTCATTCTGGCATCAGTGTTATGATTGGTTGATGTTTCCCCTGTTTGCCTACTGGTGACATGGATTGGCAGTAAATAAAAAGATAAAGCCAGCTCTCTTGTCTATGAAGTCTGGATTGGCTTCACTCATTGAGCAATGATTTGGAACTAGAGGCAGAATAAAGTTTGCAGTGACTACAGCCTGTATTAATCATGAGTAGTTCTTTAACTCAGTAATGGGAAAAGCCAGGTTTTTTTTGCAGGAGTAAGGCATCACAATATAAACTGAAAATGTGAGTTCTAGTTCTGCCTTAGGCACAAAGCCAGTTGGGTGACCTTGGGCAGGTCATTTCCTCCTAGTCCTAGAAAGCAATCAATGACAAACTTATTATACTTCTGAAAACCCTTGCCAAAAATACTAAGGGACTTGTACAGAAAGTCTTCAAGAATCAGATGTGATTGAATGGAAAAATATTATATAAATTGGAAAATTATATCATTCCACCTTATATTGTATAGATCTGGCCCCTCAAGTGTCCAGTTCTATTCTGGGCATCACACTTTTAATATTTCCAAAAACATGACAAAGAACACCAGGGAGGTTTATCAGAGAATAAGACTACTAAGTCCTTTGAAAAATGGTCTGAAAATGGAGCCACTATCCACAAATGATGGGTTCCCTTCACTGGATGTGCTCAAGATACAGATATGTGATTGCTTATAGACAGTCATCTATAAATTTATATTCAGCACTGTTTGCAATTTGCATTTGTATGCATGAAGCTTTACATTTTTTGCCCCTGCATCAACTTCACACATATGTGCAAAAGCACAAGACTTCAGTTGTGTGATTGCAATTTTTTGACCCAATTGAGTGTGCCATTAAAGTGCATTGTGACAAAACCAAAGCTTTGCACAGCCTTACTAATTTCCACTTTATCAGAGTTATACGGGCATGATTACATTTATAAATTCTTATTTTCAGTGCATGCTATTAAGAAGTTGAATTCTATAGTTATTACTGTTAATTCTGCTTTCGGTTATATTTTATATTTACCAATATGAATACTTACAAACCTAAGCAAGAAGATTACTTGACAATTTTAAGTAAAAATAGACAGCTCTTATTCAGGGTAGATTTATGATATCTGTAATACGTAAGTCATTTTTAGATAAGAGGTTTATATCACACACAGACAAAATAAAGGCCTATGTAGCTTAGCAATAGAGTTTGTTCCTTGCTTGGTGCATTTAATAATTTTTGAGATGAGTTTCAGGATGAATGTATGACCATTAATATTCTGATATGGATAATATAAAATTTCATAAAGTATAAAATGTATTTTAATCATCAACTCTTTTTGTTATTGGTTGCTGTTTTAAGTCAGACAATTTATATCTTCTGTAGTCATTACCACCTGGATATTTGCAAGGAACACTTGAGATGGCAAACAAAGAGGAAAACAGAGAAAAAAACAGATACCCCAACATATTACCTTGTAAGTATTGCTGATACATATATTTCAAAATTCTAAATAATCCAGTATGACCAGGCAGCTGTCACGTTAAAAACAGCTAACAAAGATAGGCAACTGTCTTATGAGATCAAGCCTGATAAATTTAAGGTGGTATAAACATCTGTTTGTTTGTTTGTTTAACAATATTTATAAGTAACCATAGTCCTTTTTTAGGCAGCATTAAGGTTTGAATGTGGGATGAAAATAGCATTAGTCGAAAATAGCATTAGTGTTAGGTGGCAAAGGTTGGACACGAGTGGCCCATGTCCTCTTAGCAGTTTTTGATGGCTTCCCTTCTGGACTAGCATTGGGGATTGGCAGCACTCTATTGTGCTTGTTCTCCTCCTTTCTCTGGGGTTGATATCAGTTGGTGATAATGGGGGGAGAGAGATCCTGTCCTCTGCACGTATCATGGGAGGTACCACAGATTCAGTGCTTTATTCTCTCCTATTCAATATCTACATGGCTGCTGAGTGAGGTATTATCAGTAGCTGAGGATACTCAATTATACATTTCTGCCCTTTAGCAAATTAAACAGTGCTGTTGATGTCATATCCCAATGCCTGGAGGCTATGGGCCTGGACGGTATGAGGATGTGGTTGGAGAACAACAGGCTTCAACTTAACCCTAGAAAGTTTGAATGGTTCTGATTTTTTTATGGAGCGTGTCAGTTTTGGAACTATGCTATCTTTGATACTGGGTAGATTGCACTGCACCAGACAGACCATTTCTCACCATGTAGGTCTTCCTAGACTCATGAGTCTTGCACAAAGAACAGATGGCAGTTGTGGCTAGGAAGATCTTTGCACAGCTTTGTGTTATGTTGAAATTATTCCTGAATCAGGGAGCTCTGCTCATGTTCACGTGTGTCCTGGGCAGAATATTGTAATTGGGGGCTGTTATGTCCTGAGGACTCAAGGAGTTCTCACTCAGGTCCACTCACT